GTGATATTTTGTTGAATTACTGGTACATCACCAGCATGTATGGCAGATATATTTACTGCCAACGAGTCATTCTAAAAAGTTTAGGTAGTTTTCATACAAGTTTCCCCGCTTCTTAAAAGTATACACAACTATACAGTATATGTGGTCCTTTTGATCCTACAGTTAAATCTGATACTGTATTATTCCTGTGCAGCCTGAACTATCTCTTTGCAATCACTGCAGACAATCGACCATGACGTTGCTTCATTGTTGGCTTTACAACTGTTTATGACCACTGGTTGACAACTGCACATTCCATTAATCATATACCGTACTTCCCCAGAGTATAAGCCCAGGGGCCTGAACATGTAAAATCCGGAAAATTAGGGGGTGGGCTTATACTCGAAAACCACCTCAGAAAAGATAATTTTTTTGATGGGTTTAAAATTGTAACCATCTTCCCAACCTCGAAAAATTACCAAATTACATTTTTCTTCACAGCGCTGGTCTCCGGGAAATATTATCGTACGTCAGTCAGTATTGCAACATCGGGGTTCATCCCGAGTAAATAACAGAATAGAAAAGGTGTGGAACTATGTTCCGTGCGTTCGCCCACCATGCACTCTGAAATTAATGCTAGTTTTCTCATAAAAGCTGGAACCAAACGACTGTACCAATCATGATTTTTATGCAATGAAATACAATTTTTACATGCATATTTTAATAAATGTCATCGACATCTGGTAAAACACCCTGGGCCTATACTCTGGGATGCCCTCAACTCGTTAAATGTTTAAAAACAGAGGGGTGGGCTTATACTCGGGGAAGGGGCTTATACTCCGGGAAGTACGGTAGGTTTATCAAGGCTGACACGACTTATTTTTTTTTAGACCAATTTAACACTTTCAAAAATCGTTGCAAAAATAATGTATACTAGTAAATGCCACAAGAAGTCATAATTAACAAATTTGCATGACTAAATCAAGGGTATGCATTACCCCATGAACAATGAAGCGTTTCACAAACTTTGACTAAGAGCGCACATGTCTGTACATCATCTAGCTGGGCATCAAGTTACAAGGGATACACAAATCGGCTGTGAAATCATCTGCCACAAAGCACACAATAGATTGCAACACCATATATGGATAAGAGGTCAGTGCATGACAATCCAGTGATATCGCGCCATTTTACTTCCGATCTTGGTATTTTGACTTTTAAGCTCCACAATTAAATATGATGCAATATCATGGGGATTTTCGTGTTCTAACCTCTATAACAAAGATGGCACTTGATGTGTAGTGTAATGAACAGTGATCAGATAATAAAGATTTTCCTGGTTGTAACTTACCCCACTGACTGGCACAAGTGAAGGACCAGGTATTACAGAGCTTGTTGGTGGCACACTGTCAGCATTACTAACATCAAGTGATTTACTTTCGGTAAAAAGTTCAACTTCAGAAACTTTAGTTGACTCAACAGGAGGTACAATTGCCTTGTGAGTTTTTAGTTGTCCTCCCACTACTTTACTATCATTGACTTGACTGCCATTATTCCTCTGCGATTTCTTCTCCCTCATTTTATCATTTAAGTTATCTAACACATCACTGCCTTCAATTTTCGCTTCAGTTTTAATCTCATTGCTTGGTGAGCTTCTCTGTGAGGACGGATTGGAGCCATGCTGATCACTGCTGAGGTCAATGCCACTATCATGTTGGTCAAAGTCAGGTTTGTTATCAGACTCTTGTTTGGGTTTTGCACCTTGCAGGACACTCACAGGCGTGCCACTTACAGAAATAAGGGATACAGTTGCAGTAGCTGATGGAACAGATGTTTGAGTTTGTAGAGGCTTGTCCCAGGCATTCACAGACGGAGGTGGTGGAAGTGAAACCTGTGAAGCTGTACAAAGGAGAAAAAACAGGTCATTGTAAATAAAATGAACATCTAACAAAAGCGACTGAAACAATTGTCCCAGTCATCTGAGATACAAAACGCATTCAAGCATCATATTACCATCTAGATAAAAATGTGAACTTTCAATAAAACTGCATCTTGAAAGGATTCCGGAAGCACACATGAACAGTGGCTATTATCAAAGGAATGATTTCCAAATGAAAAACATGACACAAAATAAAATTAGGAAGCATGGAAACCCGAGACACCTAGCTTCACTTGCCGAGAAGTCCACTTTGCTCCCTACAATACCCTATCATGCCATTCATGATTTCATAATGCTCATCTTCATACTATGATGTGCTTCACAAGATCGTTAATTGTTTGCAAATCCTCTTCGAATCGTTTCCATCTGACATCCTATATTGTAATGTATCAAAAATCTGGGCCATTTTATTTGACAGGCTACAACATTTTTGGAGCCTGCTCCTTAATTCAACTCTGAACATTACTTTAACCGTGTCTAGCTGAATTAAATATTTTGACAAGCTAAACTACCTTTATTTTCGTCAGACTGTTTTCCAATATGTTCAGTTTGAACAGCTGGCGAAGGAGTGACAGAAGGTTTGGCAACTTCCGCTATAGCACTGGCATCCCACACACCAATCGTCATACCTATAGCACTATCAGTGGTTGATGTGGCTGGTCCAGCTTGTGTTTTACCTGTACTCTGTTTATTAAACCTGGGAGGTAACTTGGCATTTCTTGATTTCTCGTGATTATTGTTCATGTGGCGTGATTTCATGGCCTGCAAGAGGAAATACCAGTTGGTGATATCTTTTAACCCAAAGTTGTACGAGACAGTTGCTCCAATGCTAAACTGATTACTAGTAACCAGAATCAACGACATTCATCTTCCCACATGCATTATTACGCTATTCTAACCAACAGCATGGTGGCAGTTTATTTCAATCAGCAAACTACATGTTGCTTTACCCGGCCAGTAGAAATACCTTACAAGTAAAATGCACTGGGAGATAGAGCCAGAGTACCAAACTAAATTTAATTTGTGCTATATTAATGAATGGCAAACAAGATTCAATTTATCCTGAAGTAATTATTTTTCCTGCATTTGTACACCCCAGTCAACTTGGATGTCTGTGCATCATGTGATTGCCATAAATTTAATTAAAATGTTGAAAAGTATCCTCACCTCTAAATATACCCTTTCC